GGGAGGGGTGGATGGGGGGGGGCACGGACAGATGGACCACTTGGTTGGCCCGCAACAAAACCACAAAGAGAAGAGGAGCAATTGGAAAAAGTAAACTTTGTCAGGGGTCTTTGTTTCATTGGCGCTGATAATGAATAAAGGAAAAAGAATGGAGAAGAGGCAGCCACTGATAATGTATGAGGATTGCATTGCTGTGAAGAAAGCCAAAGGCAAACTAAATCCTCTCCATGTTTGACAACCGGCTGGTGCATTTCAATTCCTTTATTGAACCACCGATATTCAAAGCAGTGAGTAGAGAAGGTCCTATGCAAGAGACAAGTCAGCAGACCAACAGGATGGATGGGAAGAGACTCACAAACATCCCCTGGATGAGGAAAAGAGCCTGCAGCAGAAGGTTGAAGAGGTGTCAGCAATGATTTTGTCCCCCCTGGTACCTCGAATGCCAGCCAGATCAGCTGTATCTTGAAACCAAATGGCATTCACAACTTTGCTAAGCACAAACGGGGAGCACCCAGAGAGCCCTGAAAATTGACATGAGAAAGAATTCCAGTCACGACTAATCATCTCCATGTAGTGACGGATCACCAATAATATGGGCAGTTACTGACTGAAGCACGGGAATAAACACCCGATAAAACAGGAGGGGACTGTAGGAGAATACTCCATCATTCCAAGCGCAGCACTGGAAAATTCCAACAACACGTGACTGTCTTACTTCCTCTTTATGTTCTGGGTTCTCCTCTGCCAGGACACTACATGCCCTTCTCTGCTGCTCCTCTCTTTTGCGGAACTCGAGCATCTAGCTGGGAGACGGTACAAATTCCCCAGATGGGAGTCTTTGACTACGCTGGCAAGGTCCTGGAGAAAGTTTTTGACACTGTCAGCTATCTCTTCACCACCCAAACTACGAACTACACAGAGGAGAGAGAAGCATCTTAAAATCTTTCATCATGAAGGACCTGGCAGCTCCGCCGTCTGGCTCTGGCCCGGCCCCGCCCCTCGCCCTCCCACACTGGGCATGCCAGCGGTAGGGTTTAGTACTAAGATATGTCACCCTGTGGGCAGCTCTCTCCAAGGCATTCGCTAAGGTGGTGGTACCGCGGGAGTATTTTCATTGGTGCCCCGCCCAGGGCTGCGTCCACGTGGAAGTAATACAGTGTTACGTGACCCACCTTCCTGAGTGAGCGGGGTTTTCTAAACGGAGAAAGAAAAACGCTTTAGCGACGCAAAAGAGGCCTAAAGACCTAGGAGCTGAAAAAATACGTCATTAAGAGAACTACCTATAAATTGCGTCGCACAGACCACGGTTTCTTCTGCAGGCTGCGTCCTAGGATCCGCCCACTCACCAGGCGGAGCCTGCATCCAGGCCCCCCCGCAAACCAGTCTTGGCTGTGGATACAGGGGAGAAAGCAGCAGGCTGAGTATCGTGGGCCTTCATGGCAACGCTGATGGTTCTGGTTCTGGCTCTGGTCCTGCGGCGCTCGGCAGGTAGGACTCCGCGGAGTTGGGGGTGCGGGGAGGTGGTGGGGTTGGAGGCTGNGAGGGCAGTGTCACTGGCCCTCATATGTGGGATCCGAACTGGGGCCCTCTGGCATCCCAAGCCAGCTCTTAACCAACGCGCCACTCGGCCGGCCCTCAAACTTTTTTAATATTAGAGAGTCTGCACTGCAGAGGAAACCTGCCTGGTGCTATGAAGGTTCTTCTATAAGCATTCAGATGTCACTTCAGAGGATTTATAGCTACACACACGCACACACCAGTGTTTGTGTAATATGTAGGAAATGTTTATTTCCACTTAAATTCAAGAACCATGTAAGAGGAAGGTAGCTGTGATGATGGTGTAGCAGAAAGTAGTAGGGACTGGGTGTTAGGACATGGTCTGTCATTTCCTAACTAGAGATGACCCTTAAACAACACGGGTTTGAACTGTTCAGGCCCACTTATATGTGTTTTTTTTTTCAAAAAAAATACTGTAAATGTATTTTTCTTATGATTTTCTTAATAACATTATCTCTAGTTTACTTTATTGTAAGAATACAGTGTATAATACATATAACATCCAAAATATGTGTTAATCGATTGTTTATGTTATTGGTAAGACTTCCAGTCTACAGTAGGTTATTAGTAGTATAAGTTTTTGGGGAGTCAAAAGTTATACACAGATTTTCAACTGTGTAGGGTGTCGATGCCCCTTGCATTGTTCAGGGTCAACTGTATATGATTGTTTTTTGCCTTCTAGAGTCTAGAGAAAAAAGAATCTAGGAGTTCTGGACTGTGAGGGTTTAATTTTGTTCTAAGTTTTCAATTTGAAATTATTTCAGATTTATAAAAAACTTGCAAAAATAATACAAAGAATTCCCATATGCCCTTCACCTAGCTTCCCCACATGGTAATGTCTTTACAAAGTTATTAAAATCAGGCAATCAGTATTAATATGATTCTACTAACTAATCTGCAAATTTTTCCAATTTTCCCATTAACATACTTTTCTGAGGCCAAGAACTAGCCCAAGATTACACATTGCATTTAGTTGTGTGTATATATGTGTGTTTGTTAACTTTGAAAAAAAAATCAAACCTATGCCCAAAAATTACAACAATAGTACAACTAATTCTAGTAAGCCCTTCCTTAGACGTATCAATTGTTAGCATCTTGCCACAATTGCGCTAGAGCTCTCTGCATACTTTTTTTTTTTTAACTGAAGCATTTCAGACTTAATTGCAGACATTATGGTCCTTTAACCTAAATATGTGAGTGAGCATCTCCTAACAACAAAGACATTATTTTAATAACCATCTTTTAATGATCAAATTCAGAAAATTTAGCATTGTTACAATACTATTAATCTAACATATGGTCCACATTCAGATTTCACCAATTGTCTCAATACTCTCCTTTATCATAATTTTTTTCATGATCCAGGATTTAATCCAGGATTAAGCTCTGCATTTAATTGTCACATCCCTTGATCTGGAACAGCTCTTCTGCCTTCCTCTGTCTTTCAAGACATGGAGAGTTTTGAAGAGTTGTTTTATAGAATGGCCCCTCAATTTGCATTTGTCTTGATCAGTGTTTCTCAAAGTATGGTTTGTGACCGGTGCTGGTCTACACATCAGTGTTACACACAGTGAGGAGTCAACATAGACATTGAAATTACGCCTTTGGAAATAATTTTATATAAGTTTAATAAAAATTGGGGGCTTATATTTTTGTCTTTCGATTTCACTTTTCTAAGAATTGATTTTTATTGTGTTTTATACAAAGTATCAGTCCTAAATGGATTGGACATTTTCTTTAAAAATGGTCCTTCGTCACAGCTACTTTGAACAGCACTGGTCTAAATAAGCTTTTTGAGGCTAAGGACTATGTTTTACTCACTTCTGAATCCATTACACTTAGACCCTACCAGGCAGAGTTCAGTAAATGTTGTGGTGGAATGGCTTGAAATGGCCCATTTCTTTGTTAGAGAAGCTTTTCTTAATGCTAAGTCAAAATCTGCCTCTCTATAAATTCCACATAGGAACCTTACTTCTGCCTTCAAAAAATTATTTAACGTGTCTACTCATATATTTAGGTGTTAGCTTCTCAGAGATGTAAAGACTGATACTGTGTCTTAAACCCCCAGTGTGCTCCAAGCAAAACTGGCTCCATTCCTTTTACCATTTGTAGTGATTAGGATTAAGTTCTGCTGAAAATGAGAATGCCTCTGGTAAGAGTGGATTATTGACTTTGTTTCTTATGTTCTACAAGTTCAGAGGTACCATTCTGGGCTGGTAGGAAGTTCCACAGGTCATCAGAGACCCAGTCCCCCTCTATTTTGCTGTCCCAATGTCCTCAATGTGTAGCTTCTACATTATGGTCCAAGATGTCTGCTCGAGCTCTAGCTATTACATCTGCATTCCAGCCAGCAGAAGAAAGAAGGGGTAAAGAACACATCCCTCCCTTTAAGGACAGCTCCCAGAAGTCACACAAAACACTTCCATTTATATTATTTTGGTCAGAACTTGGTCATAGTGCCACAGTTAGCTCCAAGAGAGGCTTGGAAATATATCTTTTATTTTGGAGATCCCTGTACTTAGGAAGAAATTGGTGGCTTTTTTTTAAAGGGAGACAGATATAGTTGACAATATCTACCATCTTTGCTATATTGTCCTTGTATGCATGTCATTGTATAATATGTCTCTTCTTCACCATTCTGATTACTTGTTCGATGTTTTCATGTATTTAATTATGGTTCCATTGTATGTGACATTACAAAAGCAAGTTGGACATAATGTGTCATATATAAATGACCTCAGTGTTAACCAGCATTTGAGTACTGTCTCAACGCTATGCAGCTAAGTCAGACTTCCATAAACCCCTAAGAATATACATTAATTTGTTTGAGAAGCACTTGCGAAGCTCCTGCTGTGTGCTTTGAGGTTGAATGAAAAATTGGCAAAAGTATTAGAAGATATGTTTTCTTGCATGTTTATAGGAATTCAATAGACGTGAAACCGGTAAAGATGATAACACAAGTATTTAACATTTTGATTTATCTTTAAATGTTAATATAAATGCTAGAATGTATTAATTTTACTTTTTTTAAAAAAATTTCTTCGATTTCCTATAGGATGATATGTATGTGCCACAACTTTGTGAATTACCATTCTAGGCAAGTATAGTGATTCATCATATATTTCTATTGAGGAGGTTATTTAATGAGTCAGTAATAGCAGAAGAGGATTCTCTTAGGGTAAGGCTCCCTGGAGGAGGTAGCAGTTGAGAAGGGGTATAATTTAGTGTTTTAGAATTCTATAGCTGGACCTAACCTTGCAGATATCTACTCTTTAAAACTGTGGCTCAGCTAGTCCATGTCATTGTGGGCACCCTGTTTATCAACCAGTTCTGTGCTTTTTCCATTATGCATGCTGTTTGTTTGCAGGTGAGAATGTAAATATTTGCTTAGTTACTGACAGTTCTAGTGATTATATTGGGGATTTGCTCCACACCCCACCTGATTCCTAATTCTTACAAAGCTTTTCAGGGAAGATTTTGCTATCTCAATTTTAGAGAAGGGAAACTGAGGCAGGGGTGTGAGGTAACTTGCCCACTGTCCCACAATCATCAGACGACATACCTGGCATTTGAGTCTAGATCTGCCTGTGGTTTTCTGTAGATTACACTTTTTTAATGATGTGAGAAAAAAATTAAGTAGGATCAATGAGATAACTGACTGTAATGCAAGATGCTGGGAAAAGAGTGTGCACTTATAACAGCAATGCCACTTGTGTTCTGAACTTTGTAGTTAAATTGATTTTTTTATTATTTAATTTTATTGTTAGTTTCAGGTGTACAGAACAATGCAATAGTTATCCTTTTCATCCTCACAAAGTAACAACCCCCCTCCCCCATCTACTGCCCTCCCACCCCCGATATCATACTTATCTATTACAATTCCATTGACTCCATTCCCACACTCCACCCCACGTCCCATGACTATATGCATATATAATTATATTTGACATACAATATTATTCAACATCAGTTCAGAAATGCAGTGTGGTGGTCAGGCCTCTACACCAACTATGAAGTAGTCTCCCTAACAAGACATGAGCCCATCTGGCCCCCTAAAAAACATTTACAACATTATTGATTATATTCCCCAGACTGTCTTTTCTATCCCTGAGGCCATATTGTAGTTACCAATTTGTATTGATTTTTAAAGCTGGTCTAGAGGTGTAAAGCTTGATTTGTGAATGAGCATATTGGGTTTTGGCTTGACAAGGTCACAAGCCCCCTTTTGGTTAGTAAAAGAGTGGAAATTAGGGGCTGCTTTCAGACATTTGACTGAAGCTTCCTGGAGATAATAAATTTAACTTTTGGCTTAAGTAATGTAAGCTTTTTCTTTTTTTTTTTTTTTTGGGAAACCAGTTTATATTTGATTGTGACATTTTAAAATTGTACAAGTGTTTTGACATCTGCCCCCTCCCCCCGTATTTAATCTGTTTAAAATAACTAGAAGACACCAACCAATCACAGGTTTCATGGGTTTAATAAGTTTACCCCTTCAGTTCCTATTTGCAGCACCCACTATTCTTTTGAAACACCAGACAGACCCAACAGTGGCCTACAGTAAATTTCAGACCTTCAGAGTTTAAAAGTTCAGGTTCTCTGAGCATTCTGGATTGCAGTGGCACTTGTCCAAAATTGGCACCTCCCTGTAGTTGGGTACCAGTGAAAAAAGCTTTTTCCCCTTCAAGGGGAAGAAAAATCACTCCTCAAAACCCAGCAGATCTGGCTGTGAGGTCTTGCCTCCTGTTCCATCTCTTCAGGCTTGTTTTTTTTTTGCAGTGGAGCAAGAGAGACCAAAATCTAACCTGAGTTACGAGAACCAAGACAATGAAGTCTATAATGGGAGTGACCAGGAGCAATTGAAATATTCCTTTACCTTCCACGTCAAATATATGTGCTTCACAGAAAAACAACAAAAACAACAGGTCTACAAAATACAACAGCTAGAATTACAAAATCCATTCAGCCAAGGGTGGTGGAAGGCAGGAAGGGGAGGTAGAAGGGTAAATGGTACACGGAGAAAACGTATTCAAATCAGTCTAGGCACAGGGGCTGGCAAAATGCTAGAAAAGAGCCGCAGGAAAACCTGATGTCCTTTCAGACTCATGGGTGTTAAAAATCCACATATTGGTGTCAGGAAGATTGTGCCTTATGTGCACAAGAGACAAAAATTCCATTTTCTAGGAGAGAAAGGAACATGCAGAGGACTCTTGGCAGAGTGGGTCCTGCCTTCCCTGGTGGGGGAGGTGAAAAGGAAAGAGCTGCACAGCTTCCTTCCGATCCCACTCATCCCCTCTGGGTGGCAGGGGACTCAGTGGCCTGCAGCAGCCTTCAGTTTGGCAGGAGACGGATGCGGGGAAGGGAACTTCTCTGCATAGGTTGAGGTACTAGGGGCAGACTGCAGGTAGACTGTCTTGTGGGCGAGTCTTAAGAAAACTGTTGTCGGAGGGTGGGCCCTTCTTGGCGCAAAGTCCAGGTCCTCGGCAACTCGAGCAAAGAAGTGAACGAGATACCAAGGCAAAGTAGTGAAAAAGCAGTTTATTAGAAGAGATAGTACACTTTAAAGAAATAGAAGTAGGCCTGAGCAGTAGAGGATGGCTCAAGGGCCCATCATTAGAAGAGAAATTACATTCCAAAGAGTTTGGAGCGGGCCACGCGCAATGGCAAGACTCAAAAGGCTCAAAAAGGGAGGAAGGCGGTCCAACAAAAAGGGAAGGGCTTCTCTGGACTTGGAGTTTTTATCCCTTTTTCTCTAGAATGGGCTGTTCCCCTCTGGCCGTGGGACCACTTGATTGGCACCTGTGATTGACAACAGGTACGTACTTGCACAGGTGCAAGTGACTGGTCTGATCTAGTTGGGTATTTTGTTCCCAATTGTTTTCCCGCAGGGGTAGGTAATTACAATGCAAAGGGGGAGTTTTGGGTGGAGAGGGGAGGTCTCCTGGGTGGTCACACTCTGTGGGACATGCAGGAATGCAGAGACCCAATGCCTGCCTCTGTTTGCCTTGTTTTTCCCTTGAGAGATGTGATCCCCATAAAGTCTCTATGGAAAGCTGAGGGACAGGAGGTCTCTTCTTCTGTATCAGCTTCCTGTGGGGCAGGGGCATAGAGCTGTGCCTGCCTATTGGGGGGGATTCACGAAACTCACCCTATCTTATCTCAGATGAGAGGAAGGGGTCTCGAGATCTTCTTGGAAGACCATGTTGGCTTCTTTGGTTGTGACAGGCAATCTTGTTGGGGTATCATCTGTATCCCTAAGGTCCCTGAATGAGGAAAAAATAGATTTTAATTAATAAATCTGTTAGCTCTTATGAAGCCTGTGGCCATTCAGGTGTAACAGGTCACTCAGGTGGCATCAACTGTCTGGGCCCAGAATGGGTTTGGAAAGAATCGTTAGGCTTACTGGCCACAGGCTTTCAAGTAGTTATCTGAAGCAGGGGTAGGAGATTTCTATTGTTTAGGATTAAGAAACTGATTTACAAAACAATCAAGAAGCAGGGGGATAGAAGACTTTTATGATTCAGGCTAGGAGCAATCTTTTTTTTCTTTTTAGCTGAGCCATCCTGTCACCTGTTGGCAGCTCAGCTAGGGCCTGTTCTATTCGATTCCACGACCCTGTTGCTCAGAGCTCACACTCTTGAGCGAGCTT